GCTGAGGTCCACTACGCTCCCTCTCGCCCTCTCTCTCTTTCCTTCTCCCGAGCGTGTTGTGCTTCAGTCTCCTAGCGACCCTCGCCTGAACACGATGTACCCAAAACCGGCGGATGACATCACCGCCACCGCTCATTTATAACTTATTAAGCACGTGTTCCATTTCTTGTAAAGCGTTTACACCTTTTTCACATTACTGTTTCTCTTGTGTTCGACTCCAGAAACACTCAGTCTTTATATGTATTTTTAAGCCGTATTGAGAAACACAGAAGGCCTGTTGTTGGTTTAGGATTCTCAGGAAGGTTTCAGTGGGAGAGCATGGAAGCCAGAGGGGTACACACTGAGCTGCAAAATGGAAAATGCGAAGCAGCAGTGGTCCGATGATAAAGAACCCCTTTTTTTCCCGCAAAAACCAACAGCCAGACAACTCTCGCCATTGTCATTGCAAGTGTAAAATGTGTTCCAACCCTGCGTATAATCCCTTCCAGCTGCTTGCAGAGTTGTACTGCGTGTGATCGAGAAATTGTCTGTATTGTCGGTGAGTTCAAGACCACAGATGAGACGAGCGATGGGTCTGATCCTAATGGGCATGGCTGTGGCCTGGCATTGGCCCCTGACCAGATACCCGGGGAGATGTCTCGCCAAAAAGAAAAAAAGAGTTGACAAGCCATGTAACGGCAAAACCGCTTAACAAAAGACAAAGTGTGCATTTTGCGTTGCAGGCAAGGTCTTTGTGTGTCAAAATATGTTTGCTGGCAGTGTGTGTGGCCCTCTTCAGAACAATGGAGATGCTTTTCTGATCTTCAACAGTATACACAGCAGATAACCGGGATGTACAGAACAGACGCGACAAATGAGAGAGAAACGAAAATGTTTCTTGCTGGAAAAAAAACACACAACCACAGCGCAGTTTGCGAGTGCGTCTGGATGTTCGAGACAGAGCTCAAGGGGAAGAAGTGTTGTTTGAGATGTGAGAATTGGCTGATGATAAAGGACTGTCTCTCTCTTTACATGTGGTTTGGCTTTTGGGTGGATGTAAGATTCCAGAAAGAATGGGAATTTTGTTCATCCCGTCTTCTGCTTTCATCATGTTGTCATTTACGTCTTTGATGTAGAGGATTGTTAAGGCTCATTGTTTTTTGGTTTTCAGAGATTTTTATTGAAAGCTACATATGTTCTAATAAGGACCAGAGTGGTTTAATCAGATTTCCACCTGGATTTTATGTTTCCGTGCATCTAAAAGTTGTGTTTCTTGCTTACCAAAGACACTGATAGTTGTAGTGTATGGTACACAAGGTCTTCTTGTGATGAGGACACCAAGATTTTTCGTTTTTTAACCAACTTTTCAACCACATTTCTATGATTTGCTTTCCGTATTTCATAAGATTATATATGTACACGGAAGATCTTTAGGAAGAACAAAACTTGCAGCAATGCAAAGTTTATGTGGTCACAGGTGTGGCAGGCCTATGTGTTTAGGTGTGTGTGTGGTTAACATAGGCAGGGGTCTTGTACTGGCCTCTGGGTGGTTAAGTAGAGGGTGAAGAAGAGGCTGAGCTGTGACCTCGTTCCAGTCAAGTGCTCATGAAAACAGCAAGTCAGCCGAGTGTTAAGAGCAAGTGGCATGTGCCGTCTGACTCAGATCACGTCTCATAAGAAGTGCCGCGCCTCACGACCACAGGGCCCTGCCACCATCTTTAACCTCTCACATCAAACTGCCGCTCTCCACCCTAACTGAGCAACAGTCAGCAGCCTCTACAGACCTCAGTTATGCACAAGTTCACGGTTAATGGCTCAAGTCCTTTGAGATGAGTACCTGTCAGACTTAGAGCTGGGTACCATTTGAAATGTGAAATAATAAAAGTTGGTAGAATAACCAAAGCAATAATGTTTTTTTATGCCTTACATTGAGTAAGAAAAACAAGTTTTTCAACAAGAACATTTTTCAGTTTGAGTCCCCCTATCTAGCATTTCTAAGCAGTACATAAACATTTAATAAGTGGCTTATAACAGACGATAATGTAACTGTAAGCAGTATGTGTTAATTAATGTATATGTCAGCAACTGTAACTCCTGTGTGTGCCTGTACGTGGAGGCTGGGCGTATAAACAGATAATTCATGATAATACGCTAAAACACAAAAAACTGTTTGTTTAAAATTGATTGTTGAGTTGTTTACAAATACTGCACATTAATAAATGGTTTAAACTATCCTCATATCTGTGTACAATCACATTATAGTTAGTTACAAACCACTTATTAAATATTTGCATCATTATATATGCTAAATAGGCTTAAAGTGAAAGATTACAGATAAAGTAAAGTCAAAGCCAAACGTTACTCAAAGTTACTCTTAAAAATAACTTTACAGTTTACAATACTTGCTGCTATAGACACAATTCAGTTGTTAGTGAAAAACTACAGAGGTTAAAGGTCAATGTAGAATCATAAGGGAATAAGGGACATTAACTGTTTCTCATGCCCTCAACCTGATTTCAAAGAGTGAAGGATACTGTTTTTCAAATGTGCTTACCACACACTGGCATCTTGAAGCGGGTGCTGCACTTTTCCCCACACTGAACCCTGGTGTAACCCCTCGATGAAAACAGTTTGCACAAATAGGTTTCGGTATTGATGCCAAAATTCAAGTATCGTATCGGAACTAGAATACCCAGCCCTAACTGCAGTTAATGGACTGCCATTTACCAGTAACAGTGACACATTAGTCACATCCGTGTATTTACATTTGCTAAGTCAAAGAATAAAATATGAACAGCACAAATTGCAAAGCAAGACTGGTTGCAGTGGTCATGTTTTAGAGCCATTTACCCAGGTTCCAGCTGTTTCAGCAGATTCAAAACAATGCAGCACTGTTAAAGACCAAAGGCAAAGAAACCAGGCATGACCTATAACTCAAGTTAGATACATGCTTGTAATTACTGTACATACAGTACGGAAACTTCCACCACCAACAGCAACACAACAACAACACTGCTCTTTATACAGATGTTAAAAATGGCAGGATTGGCCAAGAGGCAGCAAGGCTTAAAAGTAAAAAATAGATTCATTCAAATGAGATAGACTGAGACGGACAACTTTTGCTACCTAAACATCCAACCTGCATACAAAGTATGGCGCTCCGGGACAGAAACTGCAGCACAGATGAAAGTGTTGGAATTAAAAAGTGTAGAAGAATCAGAGAGAGAAGGGTGGGGAGGGGGAATGGGGCTTTCTAGCAATGAAAGATTCTGGCCGCTTTCTGAAACTGCCCCTAATCCTCTGTTAACTCCATTACATGTGGGACACTTCTGTGATAAGCCCAACAATAGCGAGGAGAGCCCATTCCAAATACCATCACATTGCGGGCGCACTTTAACACAATTATTAACAAACACAAAAAAGGGCAGCCGCTGCATTTTGGGGGGAAACAATTTCAATTTTAGATATGGGCTTGAGACGGAAACTGGGCCACTGCAAGCTTTGATGTCCTAATTGTGTGTGTGTGTGTTTTTTTTTTACTAAAGAAACTGAGGCTTATTGATGGATCAAAAGCAACAGAGACAGAGAGGAAGAGAGAGGAAATGGAGATGGAGTGAAAGAGACAAGAAATAAAAAAAAACAAGAAAGGGAAAAAAAAAGAGGAAAGAGGACAGCCAGAGGAGAAGAAGAATGAAGGGATAGAAAGGAAAGCGAGATATGGCGGGAGAGAGTGACAAATGTGCCTTAGATATAGAAGAAAGAGTGACAGAGCTGAAGTTCTGTTGAATCCCAGCTGAATAGGCCTTGATTAACTGTGGCATGAGGTCAAAGCAGGGCCTCAGTCTGCTGGGGCCTGGCTTAGGAAAATTATATGTGTGCCTGTGTGAGTGCAAGCGACTGTAATTTGCACTTCTGAGACATGTGAATACAGTTTGTAAGACATGATACGCATCCGTTTGTCTGGTTAGGTTAGGGCAACTGTGTGGATTTGAGAGTGAATACACAGTAAAACCCCATGGAACCATGGTAGAGGCTATGAGTGGAGCTCAGCCCTGAATGCATTATAGCTTCACCAATTCTCTTGTTATTATACAGGTAATGGTTCAGCATTTGGGAAATGGTTTTGGTTGTATTGGTAACAGCCCATAATTTACCAATCGCTGTATTCCTTGTTTTTTTTTCTAACCTTTGGACATAGGCTGACTAGCTGTTTACTCTTGCTCCCAATCTTTACGCTAAGCTAAGCTAACCATCATGCGACTATGGCATCGTATTTAATTATTTTTCAGCTGTCCTTTTAAAAAATGTACACTCTAAAATGTCATTTATATTAGGCATCTAGCAGAAGCTACTAATGTTCAGGGACTGTATTGATTTACTAGGTGAAATTTAAACATATCAGACATCAATGTCAATCAGATGTCAAGTGGAGAAATAAATATTGTTGTTGGTTAATCTTGTGTGTTAGTATAAGGGACTCAGGAAACCTGGAATAAAACTCCCTTGCACATAATATAATTTCCCCAAACTGGACAAGTAAACCTACATGAACACAGACGGCTAACTTCAAACTAACACGTACTACACAAACTAATGTACATGCCTTCTTTCCAAAATGAGTGAAACATGGCCCATGAAGGGTTTTTCAAT